GATCTATCCATATCCACCGCCTGGGAACCGACGTCCTGGTGCCCCAGCGGGCGGTGGATGTGGATATGCTTCGGCCCCCGGGGGCCCGAATGTCCACATCCACCGCCTGCCGGCGCTCCCAAAACTGACCCTCCAGGCGGTGGTCATGTACAAATTCCCGCCTCGGACTGGAGCGCCTTGTCTTGAGCAGGGACTGACCGTCCCGGCATTCCTGTAGTCCTACCACGAGATGTACCTAGAACCCAAAAATGTTCCAAGAACGAAAACAATGCTCTCAGAACAGAGACCCGTGGAGACCACAAAAGGTTCTTAGAACATTGTTTGGTGGGGCTGTAGGCGAGCGCCAGGACGCTTCGCCACTGCTTGACTGCCCCGCTCCTGGGCCGGCCCGAGTGCCGCCGCGGGTGCGCGGCCGCGGGGCTGCAGAGCCCGACGCGCCTCTGGGGAGCGCCGCGAGGGCCACCTCTGCGGGGGCCCCAGGACACACAAACAAATACACACAATTACAAGGATTCCCTATATTCGTCGTTGTCGTCGTCGAAGTCGTCGGAGGCGTCGTCGGTGTCGTCCTAGTCGTTGTCGTCGGTGTCGTCGTAGTCGGTCTTAACAGGTTTTGCAAACCAAGTTGCGGGTGGGTGGGTGGGATGTTTGCGCGAGCAGTGGAGAAGACAACTTCAAGTTCAGCAAATTAATTCTCCCATAGTTTCTGGGCTCTTGTCTTCCCCCCCACTTCCCATATTTTCCCCTGCTTCCTGGGGAATCGACGATGAATTGTGTCTGTCTGTTTCTTTCCCTCCTGAGCCTCGGAGGGCCCCCGTCGGGGCCCCCGTCGGAGCACCGTCGGGGCACCGGCGGGGCACTGCTCGACCGCCGCCCCGCTCCTGGGCCGGCCCGAGGGCCACTGCGGGAGGAGGAGGAGGAGGAGGAGCTAGGAGGAGGAGGAGGAGGAGGAGGAGGAGGAGGAGGAGGAGGAGGAGGAGGAGGAGGAGGAGGGAGAGGAGGAGGAGGAGGAGGAGGAGGAGGAGGAGTGCGCGGCCGCGGGGCTGCAGAGCCCGCCGCGCCTCTGGGGAGCGCCGCGAGGGCCACCTCCGCAGGGGCCCCCCCGTCGGGGCGCCGGCGGCTCGCAGAGGGGGCGCCCCCCCGCGCGCTCCGCGGGGGCGCGCAAGGGGGGGGGGGGGCAGAGCGGGGGCCCCGAGGAGCGAGGAGAGTCCCTTGCGGAGCTGGGGCTCCGTCGGGCCCGTCCGCCTGCGGGGGCACTTTGGGGACGAAAGGCTAAAAGTGCCCACGACCCCCCCAAAAAAGAATGCTCCCAAATGGCCCACACACACACACACACACACACACACAAACAAACAAAAAAAAACAACTTCCAGCAAAAAGAAAACCTTCCAAAAACCCTCCTCACGAAGAGCCCAGGATTCCTGGAGCCTTCCTTAAAACCAACCTTCCAAAAAAACCTTCGGACACAAAAAAAAACGCTCAAAAAAGATCGTCCCCATATTATTTGTTCCATACGTTTGAAGATTCCCCCTGTGGAGGGACAGGCCCGACTTAAAGCTGGGGGGGGGCAGGGGGCCGGCCACGAGCGCACGCCCAGCGGGTGCCGAGACCTCTGCAGCCCTGCCGCGGAAGGAAGCATCGATCGCCTGAGCGTCCCCCCTCGGGCGCGCCCTGACATGGGCTCATGCTGGAGTAGGAGGAGGAGGAGGAGGAGGAGGAGGAGGAGGAGGAGGAGGAGGAGGAGGAGAGGAGGACGAGGACGAGGAGGAGGAGGAGCAGGTTTGCTTCCTGTCACTAGCTTCTGGGCTCCCATCGTACTGAAGGACCTCTGGAGTCCCGAAACGGTGCGCTGACCGACCGCGCGGTGACCTCGAAATCCCCCGAGACCTCACCGCACGGTCCGTCGACGCACGGTTTTGGGACCTCGGAGGCCCCCGTCGCCCGAGAAGTTCTCGGAGGGACTCGAGCCCCAAAACCGTGCGGTGACCCCGAATCCCCACCGACTCAACGCACGGGGTGGTCACCACACCGTTCGGGGGCCCCCGAGGACCACATCCCATGAATAATTCCGAGCACCCGGAAGAGTGTCGAAACAGTGTCGAAACAGTGTCGGACGAGTGTCTCCCAGGGCCCGATGCGTGAAAACCCTCGGGTTTCGGTACTTTGCTGATGCTCGAAACTCTTTGTGGTGATCAAGGCTAAAGTAGGCTGGAACATCATAAACATCGGCCAGGGATCCGTGAATCTGGCCCGTGGGCGCAAGATCGATGGATCGTTGAAGGCACCCCCGAAAAATGAGGCCGCTGCCGCCCCGTTGGGCGATGGAGCCCGCCAACGTCGCATGGAAACGTGACCTGTCACTAATCCACGGGCCTCAGTCCACATTTGCGCTTACTCGATCCTGTTCCAAATCACCTCCCGCAGAGCCCCGCAGTCCCCCCCAAGCGACAGCGAGGCCGACAAGGGAGGTCGAGTAGAAGATTTGGTCCGCCCAGGACACGGTTGAGCGTGCTCAAGATCCGAACGAAGTAGTTGGATCCTCGCGGATGGGACAAGCGGCAACAGCACGGCGCTAGCAATGGTCGATTCGACAGGGAGACCGGCGCAATCGACAACGGTGGATGCACGCAGGGAGGCGGCACTGCCGGCGTCAACCTGTGGGCGTCGTGATCTCGACGCATGAAGCACGGGCTCATGGATCTGGATCGTGGGTCACGCTTGGAGGCGGCCTGAGCTGGATGAGCTCAGAGGAAATCAATCTCTCAAGAATGGGAGACGAGGGCAAATCCGCTCAAAGTCTGTCACCAGGTCACTTCTGGGGCCGAAATTGACCAATTTTTCGAGCCGCGTCTAGCCGTGGCGCTTTCAGGGGCCCCTTCCTTCCCAGAAATCTATGTCTTGATTGTTTGGATACGGGGGCAACAGAAATCTCAGTCCACTCCCGGGGCCCGGTTTTCATCCCGAGCCGTTTTTTGACGGTCCCGGGACTGGCCCAAGGCCTGAAGAGGCCGAAAACGGCAAAAAACTCCCGTCGCGCTTTTTGTCTCCAAGACGCGAGCATGCCTGAGGGGGGGCCTTCCTCCCCCCTTTCTTTGGGAACAAAAAATCCGCCCTCACAATAAGCACACCGTCAAGCGAAGCCATTGAGCAAACACACCCCCGAAAGGATGGAACAGGGAAAGGCTGTTTAGCAAACTCCCAGGGCGGTTTAGCAAACGCCAATTCACTGGATCGGGGTGGTTTTCCCCCCCTTGATTTGTGCTGGCCAGAGCCAGTGCAGGGCCACCTTCGCCCCCCAGCCCGCTCCAAAAGGCGCGAGGTCCGCCTCCCCCTTTCGGCCACGCGCAGAGGGGGGTGGGGGGAGGGGGGAGGGCTTCTTAGAAGCACCCCTACCTCCCAGAAGGCACGGGCCTGATCTACAGATGTAAGGCCGGCGCCTTCTAAGAAGCAGCCTCCTTCTGAGAAGCCGTCCCCCCTCCCTCCACCCCCTTGTGCGCGCCGCCAAGTCTTACGGCTGGCGCTGCAGAGATTAACAGGGGATATGTCGACCCCTATCCCAGGCTTCGTGGGGTTTCCGAATGGACCAGAAATTTGGGGCCTAACCCTGGGATATACGATGGGGGGGTGTCCATTCTCGATAGGGGTGCGTCCGAATAGCCCCCTTGGGGTGTATCCCAAGGTTTTCCCATTCTTCTGAGCGGCCAGACTTTTCGGGCGAAACTCGGGGATTGGGGGAGAAACATCGCCCGCGACAGATAGCGTGGACCATCGACATCCGACGGGCGCGTGACCCTCGTGAGGCGCTCCCCCCCCCCCCGCGAGCCCCCTTCCTGTGCACGCACGCCGTCCCCCCTGCCGGGCCCTCTTCGACGCAGGCTTCTCCCCGAGGAGGAGGAGGAGGAGGAGGAGGAGGAGGAGGAGGAGGAGAGGAGGAGGAGGGAGGGGAGGGGGAGGAAAGGAAGAGGAGGAGGAGGAGGAGGAGGAGGAGGAGGAGGAGGAGGGGCTGGGTCGCGCTGTCCCCGCCCTCCTGCTGGGTCACCAAATCTCTGTCTGGCTGCCCACACCTGCGCGTGCAACAAGCGGGCCGGCGTCGCCCCATCGCAGGCTAAATTCTTCCTCCCGAGGAGGAGGAGGAGGAGGAGGAGGAGGAGGAGGAGGAGGAGGAGAAGGAGGAAAGGGAGGAGGAAGAGGAGGAGGAGGAGGAGGAGGAGGAGGGGGAAAGGGAGGAGGAGGAAGTCAGCTGCTCCCCCGCCGAGAACTGCGGCAGCAGCAGGGAGCGGGGGAAGTCCGCTGCTCCTCGTGCGGGCCATCCCGCGCCACACTCTGGCCGACACAGCCCACCGCACCCCGCGAGGGCCGAGCGGACGCCCCACCGCAGGTGCCCGGACAGCACGGGCCGGGCCCGCGCGCAGGGGCGAGACACGACCCGACCGGGCCGCATGGCACGCCGCCTCTGCGGCGCCCGCCGTCGTGCCTGCGGCAGCGGGCACGACGGCAGCCGGAGAGGCTGCGGGGGGCCCGTCGTGCGCGTGGGCTTCGCACCGCGGGCCGCGCTCGCGGGAGGGAGAGCTGCAGGCCGCGCAGCCGAGGAGGCCGCTGTGCCCATCGCCCGCGCGGACGTCGCACGGCAAGACGCTTTCCGAGGCAGCGGCGCACAGCGCAGCCCGAAGAGGCTGCGGGGCCCCGTCGTCCGCGGGGCCTTCGCGCCGCGGGCCGGCTCGCCGAGTAGGCGGCACGCAGCGCCGCCGCAGAAGCCGTGGGGCCCACTGCCCGCGCGGACGTCGCACCGCGGGGCGTGCTCCGAGGGCGGGAGCGGCACACGGCGCAGCTGGAGGGGCCGCGGGGCCCCCAGCGCTCCCGAGGACCTTTCGCACCGCGGGCCTCGTCCCGAGAGAGGGCGGCAGGACGGCGCGGCCGAGGAAGCGCGGATTTCCGTACCGCGCGGCCCGTCCTCGGAGAGAGCGTCACGCGGCGAGGCCGAGGAGGCCGCGGGGCCCATCGTGCGCGCGGGCCCCGCACCGCGGGAGAGGAGTCCGAGGGGGGGTCGGCACGCAGCGCGGCCGGAGGAGGCCGGGGGGCCCATGGCTCGCGCGGACTCTGCCCACCGCGGGTCGCGTTCTGCGAGAGCGGCACGCAGCGCAGCTGAGGAGGGGCTGTGGGACCCATGGTCCGTGTGGATTTCGCACCGCGGGCCGTGCCCTAAGAGAGCGGTACACAACGCAGCCGAAGAGGCTGAGGGGCCCATCGTCCGCGTGGACGTCGCACAGCAGGCCGTTTTCTGCGGGAGCGGCGCACGACGCAGCCGAGGAGGCGGCGGGCCCACCGCTCGTGTGGACTTCGCACCGCGGGCTGCTACCTGAGAGAGCGGCACGCAAGCGCCGGTGTGGGGCCCATCGTCCGCTTGGAAATCGTGCCGCGGGTGGGTTTTCTGAGAGAGCGGCACTCCAGGCAGCCGAAGAGGCAGTGGGGCCCCTCGCCCGCGTGGACCTGGCACCACGCAGCAGCCCGACGCCGGAAGCCTGGAGACCACGCGAGGCCCCCACATGGGAGGGCCTCCCGCGTGGGGTTCTGGCATGCTGGAGCTCCCTGTGTGGGAGCAGCTCATGAAGCCGTCCCGACGTCAGAGGCCCGGAGGGCGCCCGAAACCCGAGCGCGAGAGGCGGGCAGCACCCGCCCGCCCCTCCGCGCCCTCGTCACCGAGAGCGGCGGCGCCCTCTTCGACGCCGTGGCTTCGCACCCTGCGGCTGCTGCAAGCTGCCTGCGATCCTCTTGCCGCTGGAACGCTGCAGGCTCCCAGAGGTGCGGAGCCGCGCGGACGGCACGGCGCCTCGAGCAGAAATAAGCGCGGCCAGGCCCTTCCGCACAATCTGGGCACGCACTTCTTGGGCCGGATCGATCCGCAGGGGCCGGGGCCAGAACGGGTCAGAAATTCAAAAAAAAAAAAAAAAAAAAAAAAAAGCATGGACCCCAAACAAAATGTTTCTACAAATACGTGTCGTGCAATCTATAGTGTGCAGTCTATGTGGTGCAACATGTGTATGTATATATATATATATATGTGGTGCAGCATATGTGGTGCAGCATACCTATATACATACTAGAACCTTCGCGCGCGCTTCGCGCGCGCTCAGGTTCTAGCAGGCCCCAAGCCTTGACGAGTTCACTGCTCCACTGAAATCCGCCGACCCTGTCGGCGTGTGCGAGGGGCTTGGCTGTTCGAGTCGTCGTCTCCGTCGGTCGTCGCCTCCGTCGTCCCCTTTCCCTGCAGTTTCCTTCTCAAGCTCGTGAGCGAGAGAAAAATCTAGCAGTGTCGTAATCGAGTCGAAGGGAAGCCCCTTCCCTTTGATCCCTTCCCCGGGGGGGGGGGGGTCCCGGGAAGGGGGGGGGGGTCCCGGGAAGGGTGGGGGGGCAGATTCGTTTTTCGTCGGGCGGCCCAGAACCCTCGACAACACTCCAAATGAGGTCCGAATGCCCAACATGGCCCCCGAGACGGCCCAAGAGGGCCCCGAGTCGCCCAAAGATCGGCCGAAAACGCCCAAGATAGCCCCAAGACCGTCCAAGAAGCCTCCAAGACGTCCCAGGCCCCCTCCAAGAGACCCCCAGGAAGCCCCAAGAGGCCCCCACGAGGCTTCCAAGCGGCCCCTCAGAGCTTCCCAAGAGGCCCACAAACTACCCCCAAGAAGCCCCCAAGAGCGCTCGTCGTCGTCGTCGTCGTCGTCGCCATTCAGGGTCGGCGGCACCGGCCGTAAGGCCTTCGCAATAGTGGACCACAGTGCACGCATGTCAATCCGCACCCCGGAAGGCTTTCGGGGAAGATGAATCCATAGGGGGGCGGAGGCCGGATGAATCGGGCTCCCAGAAGGCCTTCTGGGAACATGAGTTTTGGGGGCGTCTTGGGGAGCCTGTTGGCGAGTGCCGTCGTCGCCGTCGTAACGTCGTCGTCGCCTCTTGGGCCGCGCCGTCGTCGTCGTCATCGTCGTCCTCATCTTCGTCGTTTCGTCGTCTTGGTCGTCGGTTCAAGAGGGAACTTGGGGCAACTCTGTGCGAAACGATCTGCGGGGGGCCGCGAGAAGGCGATCAGTCGTGTTCCCAATCACAACTTCCCAGACAGCTCTCCGGTTGCGTTATGGTAATTCGGAGCCTCCGGAGGCTCTCGGGCCCATGATGAACCATGTCCCCAGAAAGCTTTCTGGGGGCATGATTTGTTGGGGTGTGTTGGGGGGCCTCTTGGGCGTTCCCTGGGGGCCCCTTGGGGGCCTCCGGGAACTCTCGGGCCCATGATGAACCATGTCCCTGGAAGGCTTTCTGGGGACATGATTTCTCAGGGTATGTTGGGCGGGGCCTCTTGGGCGTTCCCTGGGAGCCCCTTGGGGGTCTCTTGGGGCTTCCCGGGGACCTCTTGGGCGCCTCACGGGGCTTCGTGGGAGCCTCTTGGTGGCCTCCACGGGCCTACTGGGGGCCTCCAGGGCCAGAGACCTCGAAATATCGGTTGGCGGTCCCCCTTCTGGGCCCCCCCTTGGGGAGCTCTTGGAGCACACGTGGGTTGTCTGGGGAGCCTCCTGGGCCGTCTTGGGGCCCTCTTCGGGGCCTCGTGGGCCGTCTTGGACAGATCTGAAGGGCCTCCGAAGCCGTGAGGGAGCGCTGGGAAGCGGGGAAAGCGATCCTTCAAAAAACCCTTGAACAATGATAATTCAGCCTCCCAGGGCCCCCTTGGGGAGCCTCTTGAGTCCGTCCTGGAGCGTGGTTGGAGTCCTCGTCGGCTGTCTTGAGGGCATCTTGGGCGTCTTCGGGGCCTCTTGGGACTGTCTTGTGCCCTCTCGGGACCCCCATTAGCCTGTCGTGGCCTGCTTCGGGGCGGGCCCTGCCCGCCTCGGGACCCCTCTGGACCCCCATCTTGGGGCACTCTTGGAGCACACGTGGGTTGTCTGGGGATCCTCCTGGGCCGTCTTGGGGCCCTCTCCAGGGCCTCTTGGGCTGTCTTGGAGCGATCTGAAGAGCCTCCGAAGCCGTGAGGGAGCGCTGGGAAGCGGGGAAAGCGAGAACGCCTAAATCCTTCAAAAAGTCTTGTAAAAAAATTCAGCCTCCCAGGGTCCTTTTGGGGAGCCACTTGAGTCTGTCCTGGAGAGTGTTGGAGTCCTCGTCGGCTGTCTTGAAGGCATCTTGGGCGTCTTCGGGGCCTCTTAGGACCGTCTTGAGCCCTCTTGGGACTTCCCTAACCTGTCGTGGCCTGTTCCAGGGCGGGCCTGGGCCGCCTCGTGACCCCTCTGGGCCCCCTCTTGGGGAGCTCTTGGGGCACACTTTGGTGCTCTGGGGAGCCTCCTGGGCCGTCTTGGGGCCCTCTTCGGGGCCTCGTGGGCCGTCTTGGACAAATCTGAAGTGCCTCCGAAGCCGTGAGGGAGCGCTGAGAAGCGGGGAAACGAGAACGCCAAAATCCTTCACCAAAACTCTTGTAAAATGAATGAATGTTGCGTCCCAGGGCCCTCTCGGGGAGCCTTTTGAATCCGTCCTGGAGCGTGTTGGAGTCTTCGTCGGCTGTTTTGAGGGCATCTTGGGCGTTTTCGGTGCCTCTTGGGACCGTTTTGGGCCCTCTCGGGACCCCCATTAACATGTCGTGGCCTGTTTCTGGGCGGGCCCAGGCCGCCTCGGGAGCTCTGGAAGCCCCCCACAACCCCCGAGCACCCATGGCAGGAATATACCTACATACATACATGCATGCATGCATACATACATACATACAAACATTCATACATATCTATATATATGTATGTATGTATGTATGTATACATATGTATACATATGTATGCATACATACATATACATATGCATATGCGTATACATATGCATCTACAAATTCATACACAGATACATGTACACATACATGCATATATGTACATACGCAAATACCTATGCATATACCTATACATGTGCATATGCATCTACATGTACATACATATACATATACATATACATGTACATATACATACAGATACACATACACAAATACATATACAAATACCCAAACATCTACATATACACCTACATATACATACACATCAATGTACGTATATGCACACATACACACAAACACACGTTAATACAAATTTGTATATACATATATATTATGTGTATATATATGTGTGTACATGCAGTCGATGGTGTGCAGTATGGGTGGTGCATCCTGTAATGTCGAACCGACGCAATGCAATACATGGTGTGCCATAGGCGTGGTCAATTTATCCGGAACCGTATGTGTGGTACAACATGTGTTGCGCAGTATATTTGGAGCTATATACATTTATACACATGTATACAAATATGTGTAAGTATGATCTATGTTGTGCAACCTTTCTTATGCAACATGTTGCGTGCCAGCTGTTGTGCTATGTACGCGGTGACCTAAATATGGTGCAACATACGTTGTACAAATGATGTGGTGCAATATGTGTGGTGCCATATGCGTTGTGCAACCTATGTGGCGCAAAATACGTGGTACAACCTATATGGTGCAATCTGCGGTGCACTTTGCGTTGTGCCATCTAGGTTGTGCAATACATGCGGTGCACATCACGCGGTGCAATATATGTGGTGCAGTCCTATACTGTGCGACCGACGTGCTGCAATCCATGTGGTGTGAGCTATGTGGTGCTACCCACGCGGAACAATATATGTGGCGCAACCTATGGTGCGCAATGAATTTAAACAAACGAATTGACACATCCCATGACATTGCAAACATCCAACCCACCAACCCGCAACTTGGTTTGCAAAACCCATGCGGTGGCGATTGCGATGAGTGCTTGGCGTTAGCTGGTCCATCTCTGCAGCCGCGCCAACCCAAGCGCAAGCGCGCAACGGCCAGCTAGTTTGGCGCGACCGACGCGGCTGCGGTGGCGCTGACTGCTGGGCACATCCCCGCTGACATTTCTTTGCGAGTCGGCGACTTGGTCGGGCGCGGTACCATGGCAACGTCGACAACGGTATACACGATGATGATGATGATGATGATGATGATGATGATGATGATGATGATGATGATGATGATGATAGTAACGATGCTGGTGACCATGTTGACAACGACGACGGCGCGGCCAGTGTGGGCGCCGATGCTGACCACGCCGTCGTCCTCGCGTCGGTGATGAAGGTTTTGGAAAGACTTCGACATTCGCGCGCGGCCGACGCGCGAGAGTGGGGCGCATGGTTTCATTTAACACGGATCGTGCCCCCCCCCCCCAGCACGCGCGCAAAGGCGTGCGATTGATGTCGGCATGCGGCGCCAGAGGCCCGTTTGGCAGAATTCAATGAACATATGGAAGAACCTATGGTTTTTCAAGAATGCGCAAGAGCGCGAGCGCACGTTTGTTTGAAAACTGATGTTGCGAAGTCATGTGTTTTTGTATGTGTTTTAGACACCCTGTTTTGAAATCGCTACGAAACCGAAGGTTGTTTTACCGATTTCGGCATGCGCGCGCGACGACGCGCGCGCGCGCACCTCGTCACATGTTTTGCAAAAGATTGTCGCGACTGCACGCGCGCAAGGGCGGTCGAACGATTTCTACGCGCGCGCGCGAAGCCCGTTTGGTAGCAATGTTATGAAAATGTTGGAAAACCCATGGTGTTCTAAAGAAGTCGCAAGAACGCGCGCGCATTTATTGATTTGAAAACCCGTGTTGCGAAACCATGCGTTTTTGTTTAATGTTGTTTGGACACTCGGTTCTGGAATCCTTACGAAGGATTTCGGCATGCGCGCGCAACGACGCGCGCGTGTGCACTTCGTCATTTTTCTCCAAGGGATTATTGAAAACTTGCGCCTTTTGATTAACAAATGCGCGCGCATGGTACTTTTTGCAGAGGGTGGCGGGGGGGGGCGATACCGGCTGGGCTGGGGTGGTACAAATTCAGATTCAGGACGGACGATGGGGCAGAGTCATGTTTTCACTGCAAAACGAACAGGGGAATCGATAATCCCGGGGGGGGAGGGAGGAGGGAGGAGGGACGAATCTATTCTCCGAGGGAGGAGGGAGGAGAGAGGAGGGAGGAGGGAGGAGGAGGGAGGAGGGAGGAGGGAGGAGGGAGGAGGGCCTCCCTCTAAAAAGAGTCGATCCTCTTTTTAGAGGGGCGAATGTATGGGGCGACGAGAAGGGCGGCGACGAGGCGGCGACGGGGCGGCAACGGTGGCCACGTAGCCGCCAGACCGGCAGACAGGCCCGGACGACGGGCGGCGACGAGGCGGCAACGGGGCGGCCACGGCGGCCACCTAGCCGCCAGACCGGCAGACAAGGCCCAGACGACGGGTGGCGACGAGGCGGCGACGGGGATGCGACGGCTGCCACGTAGCCGCAAGACCGAAGACGCGGCCCCACAGAAGAAGCCCCAAGTGCAAGTACTGCTTGGGGGACCATGGGAGCCTCGCTCATGTCGCCAGCAGGTCTGAGTTCATCTGACTCTGGGGCACCCCGCCGCGTCCTGTGGTGGAAGACACGATGCCGCGGTTCTGGTCGACCTCCCGCTCCCATTCCCGAAAGACCAGCCCGTTGTCGCGACAGCTCGCGCGGGGAGCGCCGTACTAGGACTGCCCGCCCACCACCTCTTCCTTTCTTACCTCCCCCTGCCCCCCTCGTCCTCTGCATCCCCCCATCCCTCCCCCCGTCCCCACCTTTCCCTTTTTTCCAGCCACGGGGAGAAGGAGGGAGGAAAGGGCGTGCGAAGAATAGATCAGCAGGCTGATCAGCTGTGGAGTATTCCCCCTAACGCGATATCAAAGCCAGCTGCACAGTCGGAAGACAAATTCATTTTGCTGCGCCACAACCACATGCATGTTGCGACCAAACTGCATACATGCTGTTACGCCCAACCCCCCACCCCCCATAAAATCCCAATTCTACGACCCCATGCGGGGGGGGTCCCTCATGCGGGGGGTCCCCTTTGGGTTATCCACTCTTGTAAAATAATGTGATTCAGGACCGTGGGTGGAGCCTAGTTTGGGGCGGCTCGCTTGGGACTCCTCGGAATCTGTTTGGTCTGGCCCCTGGCTCGGCTTGGACTGGCCTGGGTTGGCCTGACTGGGCCAGGTGCCCCGCCTGAGACATCCTCAAAACTTGCCTGGTTGGAGCCCTGATGTGTGCCCTGGTTTAGCGTGGTGTGGGGTGGGCTTCCGCTGAGATGTCCTGACACTTCGCCTGGTTCGGAGCCGGTTCCGCATGAGGCGTCCTCACAGTTTGCCTGAGTTGGCTTGGTTTCGGCGTGGTTCCCCATGATGGGTTCTCACAATTTAGCTGAGTTGGCACTGTTTCGGCGCAGTTTCGCCTGAAGCGTCCTCACAAGTTGCCTGGTTTGGCTTGGTTTCGGCGCGGTTTTACCTGAGGCGTCCTGGCAACTTGCTTCGCTTCGGCGCAGTTTCGCTTGAGACATCCTCACGATTTCAATAACTTGCCCCTGCCTTGGGCGCGGTGTCACCTGAGACGTCCTCACGATTTCCCTGGTTTGGCCTGGTCTGGGCGTGGTGACTTCCCTGGATTGGCCTGGTGTGGGCGCGGTTTCGCCTGAGACGTCCTTACGATTTACCTGGGTTGCCCGCGGTCCCGCTTGAAACGTCCTCACATGCTTCTCGATGTGCTATGATTCGGGGTGAGCGCAGAGCCGCTCAGTAGACAATGGGTGCACGCTATGGGTTTAGGCTATGTGATGTAAGCTACGTAACGCCACGTATGCAGTGCAACCGATGTGGCGCAAGCGAGGTGGCGAAGGCTATGCGTAGTAATATATGCGGTGGGAGCTATGCGGAACAAACCCACATCACCGCGCTCTCGATCTCAAGCGACCAGCTACAAGGCGGCGCTGGCCCGTGGACCAGCGGCAGGAGAAGCCTCTCCCGAGGCTACAGATAGTGGAGCTGATAATGCTGATGGTGGCGATGCTGATGATTAGCTGCCGTAGCCGTTGATCGAAGAAACGATGTTGATGATGATGATGATGATGATGATGATGATGATGATGATGATGATGATGATGATGATGATGATGATGATGATGATGATGATGATGATGATGATGTTGGCACGGGTGATGATGATAATGATGACGACGACGACGGTGTTGCCGATGGTGATGGTCATGGTGATGGCGATGGTGATGGCGATGGTGATGGTGATGGTGATGCTCATGGTGATGGTGATGGTGATGGTGTGGTGATGGTGATGGTGATGAGGATGAGGATGAGGATGAGGATGGGCGGCGATAATGGTGATGATGAGCTGGCGTGAAAACGGCCAATTAAACGTTGATGGGATCGATGGGTATGGCGATGACGATGCAGACAGACGACCGCGTTACAAATCTATGATCTCCCCCTGAGGAGGAGAAGCAACATCGTCGTCGACGGGGTCTTCCCCGTCGTCGCCTCCCTCTGGGTGTGGCGTGGTGTTGTGATGCTTCAGGGAGCCAGAGCGGACGGTGACTTCGTCGTCGTCGTCGTCGTCGTCGCCGCCGCCGTCGCCGCCGTCGCCGTCGCCGTCGTCGCCGCCGCCGCCGTCGCCGCCGCCGCCGTCGTGGTCGTCGTGGTCGGCGTCGCCCTCGTGGTCGTCGTGGTCGTCGTGATCGTCGTCGTCGTGGTCGTCGTCGTCATCGTCGTCGTCGTCGCCACCGTCGTCGCCGTCGTCGCCGTCGTCATCGCCGTCGCGGTCGCCATCGCTGTCTCCGTCGCCGTCGCCGTCGTCGTAGCTGTCGCCGTCGCCGTGGCCGTGGCCGTGGCCGTCGCCGCCGCCGCCACCGCCGCCGCCGCCTCAGCCGTCGTCGTCGTCGTCGTCGTCGTCGTCGTCGTCGTCGTCGTCGCCATCGTTGTCGTCGCCATCGTTGTCGTCGCCGTCGTCGTCGTCCTCGTCGCCGTCGCCGTCGCTGTCGCCGTCGCCGTCGCCGTCGCCGTCGTCGCCGTCGCCGTCGCCGTCGTCGTCGTCGTCGTCGTCGTCGTCGCCGTAGTCGTCGTCGTCGTCATCGTCGTCGTCGTCATCGTCGTCCCCACCCATCCCATCTGGGGGAGGGGGCCCGAGGGACCCTGAGACCCATCCCAGCTTGGGGAGGGGGAGCCCGTGGGCCCGGAGCCCGGGATCATGTAGTCCAGCGCCACGCCTTGAAATGGCTCGGTCTGGCACAGCTGCGGGTGGCCTGACCATCCTCCCGGCATAGATCTACGAGGACACCAAGAAGTTCAAACCATCGAAGCTCCGCGCGGACTTCCTGGCTCGGCGCGGGGCCCAGGCTCCCTGGCGCGCGGATCGCGCCAAGGGCGGCGCCAGAGGCGCCGCCCGGGGCGCACGCCGCCGATCCAAGAGATCCGCTCGGAGCTCCACAAGTGCACGCTTCTGTAGTTGGTTCGTCTCGGGTTCACGACGCAAGGATTCTCGTGCGGCGTCCTCTGAGACCGCCGAGTGCCGTGGAGCCCGCCCCTATTCGTGGGGGGTCGAAGAGCGGTATGGAAGAAGCTGCTCCGCCGTCGGGGACGCCTGTCCTAGGGCGGCTGGAGAGTTTGTGCCCCTGCGGTGCCACAGAGGGGCACAAACTTTCGAGCCGCCCGGAAGGCAGGCGTCCCCGACGGCGGAACGGCGTATGTCACACCGTTCTCTTCGCCCGCCGACCCGTGCGCGGCTGGCCCCTCGCCCCCGCGGGCACCATCTCGGAGAACTGGCCGATGACCAGGGGCACGGACTGCACCCGCTTGATCTCTTCCTGCCGACGCCGACGCCAACCGACCGACGGGCCTCTGAGGCGGCCAAGAGACCACCGAGAAGGCGCAAGGAGGCCCTGGAAGGCCTCGTGAGACGCTCCAGAGGGGGAAAGCGGAGGTGTTCGAAGGCCAACGATACCCCTAGATACCGCCAAGAAGCAGGCCCGGAGGGACCCGCAAGAGGCCCCCAGATGCCCCCAAGAGGCTACAAGAAACATCAAACATGCCTCACGAGGCCTCCTAGAAGCCTGGAGAGACTCTCAAGAGACATCCAGAAGCTAGATACCCCTGGGGTTCACCCTGAAGCCCGCAAAAACACAAAAAACATTAAAAAGGCCTCATCGTCGTCGTCATGCTCGTCTCCTCTCCTCCTCTTCTCCTTCTCGTCATCGTCGTCTTCCACCTTCATCATAGGATGCTTCCTCATGCTCCACACATCCGCTTTCACTCTGCAAATTCCGCCTCCACCTCCTCATCATCCTCCTCTTTCTGCCCTTCCCTTCCTACTCCTCTTCCTCTTCCTACTCCTCTTCCTCCTGCTCCTCCTCCCCCTCCTTCTCCATCCTCCTCATCCTGTTCATCCCCCTGGTGGCTCACATGGCGGTCCAAGAGAGCCCCGACTCGCACTGGTATTCCCCACAACCGCCCGAAAGGGCTTGAAGACGCGAGGCATTCTCATAGTCCACACTGAGCCCCCCGCAGAACACCCCAAAAGACTTGCCAAAGACCTCATCGTTGTCGTCACGTTCGTCCAAAGAAATACGGTCCCGACAAGGCGCCTGTCAAGGAGCCCTTGGGCCACAATGTCGGGGATGGACAGACCCACCTTTAGTAAAACGTGGTTTAGTGAAAACGACCTGAGGCCCAAACCTGGCTGAAAAATAACGGCCACGGCGCCCTCTCGAGAACCGAAAACGGACAATTCACTAATCGACGTGTCACTGTTGGGGGTTCTGTCCACTCCCGACAATTGACCCCAGAGACCGCCAAAACACCCCAAGGCCCCTCCCCAACCCCAGACCGCCCCCGAAACACTCCCCAACAGGCTCCCTCCTCTTTGGGGGGCTCGGCGGAACGGCGCAGGCCTCTTGAATACGGAATGCTCGCATCGTTGGGGCCCCTTTGGAGGTCCTCTTGGGCCCCTCACGGAAGGTCGAGGGGGCTTGCTTTGACCGTCTTGAGGCCATCTTGAGACGTCGTGGGGCCCTCTTGGAACATACACCTTGGAGGGCGCTGGGGGAGTTGAGAGGCCCCCAGAGCCGAGGGAGAGTCCCGAGGGGGCCTCCAGGAAAGCCCCGGGAGGGTGGCGTCACCAGCCCGACTCCGGGTGGTGGTCTGCGGCCCTCTGAGGCCAGGTGTTAGGTATATGAGACATGTGTGTCCCTCCCCCTTCTCCTCCTCCTCCTCCTCCTCCTCCTCCTCCTCCTCCTCCTCCTCCTCCTCCTCCTCCTGCTCCTGCTCCTGCTCCTGCACCTCCTCCTCCTTCATCTCATCATCATCATCATCATCATCATCATCATCATCATCATCATCATCATCATCATCATCATCATCATCATCATCATCATCAGCATCATCATCATCATCATCATCATCATCATCATCATCATCATCATCATCATCATCATCATTATCATCATCATCATCATCAGCAGCAGCAGCAGCAGCATCAGCAGCATCACCGTCATAATAATAATAATGATAAAAATATTAATGATAATAATAACAAGAATAAGAATAATAATAATAATGATCATCATCCTCATCATCAGCATCATCATCATCATCATCATCATCATCATAATCATCATCGTCATCATCATCATCAGCAGCAGCAGCATCGTCATAATAATCATCAGCATCATCATCATCATCATCATATCATCATCATCATCAGCATCAGCATCAGCATCATCATCATCATCAGTAGCAGCGGCAGCATCAGCAGCATCAGCAGCAGCAGATTCATCCTCATCATCACCATCATCCTCATAATCCTCATCATCCTCAGCATCATGATCATCTTCTTCATTAGCATCATCATCAGCATCATCATCAACATCATCATCCTCATCGGCATCAGCATCGTCATCATCACCATCATCATCGTCGTCACCATCATCATCATCATCATCATCATGATCCACAACAAAATAATAATCATCAACGGCAGCAGCGTGATCACATCAACATTATTATCACCACCACAACCATCATCGTCATCATGATCATCATCAGCAGCATCATCAGCATCGCCGTCATCATCACCATTATCATAATCGTAATCATATCCATAGTCATATGCATGATCATCAGCATCATCATGATCAGTATCAGTATCAGTATCATCATCATCAGCATCAGCGTCATCATCAGCATCATCATCATCATCAGCATTATCATCCTGCAAGTAATGATATTCCTCCTCTCTGTTCACCTCCTCCCCCTGCACCTCCCCATCCCACCTCTCCCCCCCCCCCGCACGAGCGTCCTGGGCGCGTATCATCTCGCGTTTCAGGTTCTTCATCTCGTCCTTGATGTACTCCTGCGGCCGGGCGCGTCGGGAAACCGACGGCACGAAGTGAGCGCGGGGAGCAGTAAGTCCCCACTGACTCCTCAGGTCGCGACTGCGTCCCTCTCCCTTCGCCTCACACTCCTCCTCCTCTTCCGCCCCTGCTCCTTATGAATACATCCTCGCCGTCGCACCCCCAGACGTGTTGGCAGGGCGAGCCAGGCGTTTCGCCTGAGACTTGCTCTCCCTTGTATGATCCTGAAGCTTGAAATTTGCGACAACTTCACGGAGGGAGGGGGCCGTTTTCAAAACGCAGCTCTCACCTTAGCGCCGCACACCTTGTTCTTTTTGAAGTTCGCAGCAGCTCCACGGATGGCTCTCGCCGTACCGTCGGGGCGTTGACCTAAGGAACCCAAAATAAGGAACGAGGCCCCTTTTCTCCAGAAGTTCAACTTCGACTTCCCATCGAAAACCTTAGGAAAATCTGAGGCAAACTGTGAAACACTCAGGGAACACCGAGCCCCTCCCCAACGAACAGGGTTCCTTCTTCAGCGCCCCGACTGTAGCGCCGCACCTTGTTCTTAAAAGTTTGCGGCAGTTTCACGGATAGAGGGCGGGTGGTTTTCTAACTGCAGCTCCCGCCTCAGCGCCGCGCACATTCGTCTTCAAAGTTTGCAGCAGCTTCACAGATGGACGGATGGTCATTTTTCAAATGCGGCGATCGCCGCAGTGAAGTTCAATTTCTTCTGGAAAGTGTGCAACACTTTCGGCGATGTAAGGCGAATCCTTTTCCATACTAGCCAGCGTGGACCCCGAACAGTGTGTTTCTAGCAAAAATATGGTATGCAATATATGCGGTGCAAACTATGTTGTGCAGTCTATGTTGTGCAATATAGGTTTACACCATATACGTGGTGCAATATAGGTTGTGCACTTTACGTGGTGCAACGTATGTTGTGCAATCCATGTGGTGCCACATATGCGGCTGAAAAGATGTTATGCAACATAGATGGTGAAGTCGAAGTTGTGCACTCCATGTGGTGCATTATAGGCGGTGCAATCGATGTGGTACAAGCTATGTGGCGCATGGTGCAGTCTATGCGGTGCAATCTTTGTGGTGCAATCTATGCGGGGTAATCTATGTTGTGCAATCTACGGCGGCGACGAGGCTGCGACAGGGCGTCGACGGCGACAACACAAGACCGTCACACCGGTCCAGACGACAATTGGCGACGAGGTGCGAGAGAGCGCCGACGGCGACAACATGGCCGCCCGGGCGGCGACGAGGCGGCGACGGGGGCGGCGACGGCGACAACATAGACGCCAGACCGCCAGACCAGCCCAGATGACAGGCGGCGGGCGACGGGGCAGCGACGGCGACAACATAGCCGCCAGACCGCCAGACCAGCCCAGATGACAGGCGGCGAAGAGGCGGCGACGGGGAGGCGACGGCGACAACATAGCCGCCAGACCGCCACACCAGACCAGTTCCTGAGAGAAGAGGCAGGAACCCGCAAGTGCAGGTACTCTGTGGGGAAGACTGACGTCTCGCATTAACGCCGCACGCATTCGTCCCAAAAGCTTACAACAGTGACAAGGGCTGTGGGCGGCTCACGTTCAAAGAGGAACTTTCGTTTCAGGTTTCTGCGAGTTGTCATATCAAAACCCTGAACATGTGCAGCGGCTACACGGATGAGCGTCTCCACGAATGTGGACCGAAGTCGTGCACAGACGCAACAGCTGCATGGATGGAGGGCGGCTCCTGCTCAAAATTGGACTCTCGTTTTTGCACTTTCCTCGGCACTCCTGGCCATAAGTGGAATTTTGGTCAAGAGATACACAGATGGGTTTAAGTCGGGCCTGTCCCCCTACAGGGGGATTTTCGACGAAAAATAAAAAATACCCCAGAAATAATGAAAAAATAATCCAAAAATAGTCCGGGGACTATTATTATTGTTTGACCATTTTGGGGCATTGGGTTTTTTTGTTTTTCGTCGAAAATCCCCCTGTAGGGGGACAGCCCCGACCTAAAGATAGGTCGATCCTTTCCGACAACGCGGATCTGGCTGGACACCTCTGAAACTACATTACCATGCCGTCGGGCGTTCCTTATTACTCGCAGGAAGGATAAAAGGCCATTCCTTCCTTTTCCAAATGGAGGTCTCGCCTGAAAGGCAAGCCCAGCGGGAGCTTGTCTTTCAAAGGTGCACTTCTTAAAATGAAAAAGAAGGCTTGCCGGGACTTGTGAAGAAGCTTGAGACGTGAGGGCGTATTAGAACGTCAGTGTCCTCCTCTTGCCTCTCCAACTCCTCCTCATGTTCCTCTTCCTACCCCTACTCATCATCATCATCATCATCATCATCATCATCATCATCATCATCATCATCATCATCATCATCATCATCATCATCATCATCATCATCATCCTCATCCTCATCCTCATCCTCATCATCATCACAAGCATCATCACAAGCATCATCATCACAATCATTATCATCATCACCGTCATCATCATCATCATCATCACCATCATCATCATCATCATCATCAGCAGCACCACCACCATCATCATCATCATCATCATCATCATCATCCGCTTCCTTCTCCTCCCTGCTCCCTCCTCCATCCTCTTCATGTTCCTCCCTGCTTACCCGTAAATAATCCCTGCATCATCCCTCCAGCCTGCCTTTTCCCCCTTCCCTCATCCCTCCCGTGTCCTTCGTTCTCCCTCCTGCATTCTCCCTCCATATACGTCGCCCCCTCCTTCTCCTC